GTAAATACACGTTACACAAATATTGATGGAATATTCGCAAACTTATTGCTCGCACGGTAATTAGAACTGCAAAGGGTTTCTTAATAGTATCAATCAAATATTATAATAAATTACTTTCGCAATTAATTTTTACAATTTCAGTACAATGCAAAACTTAATTTATAACAAAATATTTATTTAAAACAATGCTATACTATGATTTTTGTTTCTTTTTTTGAAAAAATATACAAAATATTTAAGTTATTACATTAAAAAGTTACCTCCCCTGTTCATAGACCAAATTACCAAATCTCGTATAGTGAGAATTTCATTCGCAGTTATTTTTAGCCCTCTTAGAGGGCTTTATGTCTGACCAACAGTTTTTCCATACGGCGTAGTCATCTATAGAGATGAATACAAAAAATTAGCCAGATGTTAAGACGGTAAGTGCCCTAAAATCCGTTTTGAAATCACCCTCTGTTTTTCCCATAAAATACAAAGATTATATTGGGAAATACGATTGGTCAGTTTTGACCCATTAAACGAATTTTCCCGGACATGGCACGTTTTTTGTGACACCCCGAGGCGTTCTCCTACCACCTCACAAAATTTCAAGGGGGGTCGTCGGAGGAAATTTTTTTTGTAATATAGCCCATATAAGGCGCCGGTCAGTCGAGGTCAGTTTTGACCCCTTCCCCGTAGACTTTTCGGCCAACCGTCACCGGCCCTCGTGTTCTATCGCCCCAAGGCACCATCGTGCCAAATTTGACGCGCCTTCGGCGCTGGGAAGTGCCCTATCGGGCACCTGACCACTTTGCTTTATATATATAGATACTCCGTACTAAATAACCCATTAACTACTGAGTAGCAGAGTCGAAAATAACTTTGCAATTTCCTATTTAAAGATAAATTCCAATGTGCCTAAAAAATGCGCACCAAACGTACTAATGAACTTGAACCAAACATTACCTATTTAACTTGATTTAATTTTGAAACCTATTTATACGGCACTTATTTGGATGAAAGAGGAGTCAGAATAGACACAGATTTAGAGAAGAAGAATTTTCTATTTGCCGGAAGCATTTTGGTCGAAATATAGTCACTCTTCACATTGGATACATTTCCTACAGTGGCATCATACATCGATCCAGAAGAGTCTGGACTGCTTGAAACTTCTCTTTTTTTTTTTAGTTTTTTGAGATCTTATTTGATAAGATAACTTCCTTTTTAGCTTTTTTTCCAAATCGCCCTTTCTTTGTTTCTTTTTTTAAGGAGGATATACTCTGTTTATTATATATATATATATATATATATATATATATATATATATATATATATATATATATATATATATATATATATATATATATATATATAGATATATATACTAGACTACCCGTCATCCGTTGGATAACTGGGTTTCGGGGGTCATCCATCAAAAAGCATCACGTCTGTGACTCAGAGGCGTAGCGACCCTTCCCGGCGCCCTGGGACAAACTTTCCGATTTGAACACCCCCCCCCCTCAAACTTTTGATGTGCATCCCCACCCCTCAAGATTTCGATTTATTTTTCCAACCTATTTTGGCGCCCCCTAAGGTCGGCGCCCGGGGACATATGTCCCCCCCTCAACCCCCCCCCCCTCCCTGCTACGCTACTGCAGTGTCACTTATCGTCACATTCAAAAATATGTTTTTTATCTTTTAAAAACACCGAAAACACCGATTTCGGACTATCCCTTCATATACTGACGTCACAGGTGACCTACTCAACTCTACTTCACCTGCCCAGTGTCCTGCCAAGTCTCAGACAACATGTTTTTATCGTTTAAAAAACAATTCCAGCCGAGCATGTATCTGACCACACTATCCTTTCATATGCTTAATACAAAGAAACAGATGAACTCTACTTCACCTGCCCTGTATCTTGCCAAGTTCAGATAGGCAGCTTTATCATTCACATCTAAAAAAAATTGAAAAAAAAATATCATTGACATATTGGTCTAGAACCCGTGCCACCCGAATGAGAGCCGACTACACTACCAACTTAGCTATTTACTCGTGACGTCGCAAGTGAATTTTTATACTATACTTTGAGTCTCCTTATGCAACTTGATTTACGCGCATAGATTCTAGATCTAGATCTAAGCCTAGTAGTACTAACTTTCAAATTAAATTTTATCTTAAATTAGCCAAACAAAGATTTATATAAAATAATTAAGGCCTGAAATAGATTCTAGATGTAGAATTTACATTAAGTCTAGATCTAGAATTTACATTGAGTCTAGTGACCTACATCAAGGCTAGATCTAGATCTAGGCTGGATTCATAACTTTCCTTCGACAGCTGATCTTTAGATCTAGAGAATTTTATTGTAAAACTAAATGAAAAAGACAGTTGAAAATAGAAACTCATTATTATCTAAATCTAGATAGAATTATCTATATTCTAGATCTACGACTGAGCTATATCTAGAGTTTACGTCTATAATTTTGCACACTTAGCGGTGTAGAAGCCGCGTATGAATCTTAAGTTATGCAAATAGGCCCTGAAGCAAGCATTTCCTAATTAGCATATTTCATAGCTAAACAAACAAAGATTTATATAAAATAATAAAGGTCTAAAATAGTTTAGCATATAGAAAAAAATTATTTATCTAAATCTAGATATAATTATCTATATTCTAGATCTACGACTGGTTTGCTTAAGTCTCGTTTTTTTGGATTGTATTTAGATCTATAACTAATAAATCTTTGATTTGACCTAGATTCTAGATCTAGATCTATAAATAACTTTCCTTCGACAGCTGATCTTTAGATCTAGAGAAATTTATTGTAAAACTAAATGAAAAAGACAGCTGAAAATTGATATAAGTGTTGGAACGTAATAAATACAGCAAACGGACGTATTGTTAAAGTTATAGCCGGCAGAAAATTAGCTTTGTAACGCGTTAAACTTTTGAATGGGCCACAAAGTCTATGATGGAGTCCGCCATTTTTATTTTACCAAAAAGTAAACACATCAAGCGACTTGACTTTTAGTAGTATATATATATATATATATATATATATGTATATATATATATATATATATATATATATATATATTACAATTTAAGATCTAAAGCCTTTGGAATACTTTTACCGTGTTTCGCACAACAAAGTAAAAACTAAACAGAAAAAAAGGGATGAAAACAATTTCGGTTGTCATGGAATCCCGAAAAAGCCACCGCCATTCGGAATGTTTTGGTACTTTTAAAAACGCTAAAGCTTTTTTATTTATTCCCTAATAGCTATCTTATTTAAACGGCTTATATTTCATTATAATATATTAAAATGTTGTCACTTTTTGATTGAACTACTTGCCAGAATTCTACAATTTCTGAGAAATCGTGCCCTTTTTAGTATGCACAAATTTTAAACTTTGCTTATTATTTACAATACATTTTTTTTATAAAAGTCATCACAATTCCATCGTGACATAAGAACTATTTTTGCATGAAGAACAATTACTAAAACTATGGTGGACATTGTTTAATTTAAAAAAATGAAATGTACTTTTTAATTATAAAAAAACCTGCGAACTTATACAAACAGCAAAAAGTAAGGAAAAGTAGGTCACGAAAATACCGTATGTGTGTCATTTCGCCATGATGGGTTTCCTTTCCCTTTGGATTTTTTGTTCATTTTTGTATTAAGAAAATGATAAATTTAATGAGAAAAAAAAATACAATTTTTATTACCCCGTGAGATAAAAAATAATAATGTTTTCCGAATTTCACTGCATGTTTATTAACAATAGCAGTTTCAATTGCAAGCTGCGAGCGGACGTTCAGCCAATTGAAACTTATTTTGTCACATTTACGTGCGTCAATGAGTCAAGATCGTCTCAGTGATCTTGCTCTTCCTAGCGTTGAAGAGAGACATTAGAAAAAACAGATTTTGATTGCGTAATTGACCAGTTTGCGACAGTGAAATCACTAAAATAAATATAGTGTAGTCTAAGGTGTTTTCACTGTTCGGTTTAAATCTAAACTACATACAGTATGTGTTACGATTAAAGTCTAGAATAATGGTAAGGGTTCGTTTAGAGTTAACGTAACTCTTTTGATAAACATCGAAAACACTAAAGACATTGATATCAAACACCAAATCTAAATAAATTGTGAAAAATACTTAAACTCTTGTCTAATGTAGCCTAGTATTTCAACAAACTATTAAAACTGGTTCTTACATAGCTCGAGCATAATCTATGTTATGTTAAGTGTTGTTCCCCAGCCATATATGTTGTATTGGTTATCACATAAATTATCAAAACCTTTGCATCTTAAAACTTCGACAAAATCCTGGGAATAAATCATTTCAAACCAAGATGTATTTAACTGATGAAGACACATTTTAGCAAAGCAGCTTTTATTTTTGTTTTATGTGTTGCTTTGAATCACCTTTGAAAAAAAAATATTTAGGTTTAGAGGCCTAGTAGGTCTATTCTTAACCACATTTATGAACATCGGATAGGCTATTTATATATATATATATATATATATATATATATATATATATATATATATATATATATATATATATATATATATATACACATATATATATATACACATATACATGGGCCTATAGCTTAATTTGCTCGTAGTAGTATTTAACAGGAATTTAAATAGTTGTGCATTATTATGTTTTGGGGTAAATAAAAGTTTTTTTGTGATAAAAACGTTTTTATTAGCTCTATTTTTTTCTAAATGTAATTTTGTGACGAAATGTTGCTGCGTTTTTGTACTGCATGCTTACAATATTCACTTTTAAAAAATAAGACTAGGTTCAGAATAGTTGTAACTTTAATTCACAAATGTATCATTCTCAATCCTTCACTATTTAAATGGTGTTTTTTTGCTGACGGTAAAGCTAAAGTTTTCAAAAAAATTACAATAATATTTATATTGATGAATGATTATACTAATACTAGTTTGTTACATATAATGAGGGCTTGAACTTGTCGATATTTTGTTAAAAATGTCCGACATTGCAATTATAGGTAGCTATAATGATTTTTCTTAATACGATTTTTTTTGTTAAATGGTTATTTTTATTTTAAATGAGTCTTTTCTGCAATTTCTTATACTCATGTTAATTTCTTTTTAATTAAAGATGTAAAAGGGTGTGATCAATCTAGATCTGACGACATCAAACCACCGCCAGACGAGCAGCCACGATGTTTTGACGCTGGCGTAGAAATCACCACGAAAGGACTACACGTTGATGAAGAAATGCCAATTAAAATTAACAAGACTTCTACGTTTTTCAACAAACTTAATCGTTTACTTACTGGAGGCACAAGTGAAGGTATACTCCTAGATGATCTTTGCATATTTGTAATGCTTAGTCCAGTTGAGACTCCTATGGATCCAGCTTTTCTAAATAATATTATGTCTTTTATTAAGAATCTTGAGCCAAATGTGCTGTTCGATTTTGATTTAAATGGCTTTGCCCAAGGTATTTATCATACTTTAGACACAAGTGGAGGAAAAATGTTTAACGTTTACACTTTAGATATGTTTGATGATAGCAAAGAAGATTTCAAGTATTTGCCCGACATGTTGCAAAAGGACAATTATACGCAGTGGGTGTTCTGTAACGGCCATGACAAAATGGAGTCTTTTGACAAGAGAATTTCGAACAAAACTAGAAAGTTGCAATTTCAAGAAGCCATGCTACAACTTACAAAGATCTATGGAACTGAAAGGATACTTTTTGTAATGTGTCTGTTGTCGAATAACTATGAGATAATGATTTCTGCCTGTGAAGAGGCAATTACAAGACTCCCAAACCAATGGATACTACTTGCTGAACATAAAGATATTGCCAAGCTATGGCTAGACAAAATATCAGAAAATAAATTTAAAAAACAGGAACTGGAAAACAAATGTGTTCTGGACATGTCCTGGGATCAGATTAGCATCGCTGTTTCTCAGTTAAACGAAACAAATAAAAACACTGATGTATATTTACCATCTTCTTGTGAACCCATAACATCCGTACCAATAAAACAGTTAAAAGACTGGTATGATATTGATATTTTGACTGCAGGGGACTTTGTTTTAGAAGGAAATAATGTTAACCAATTAGAAAAAAAGGTTGAGGCTGAATTTTATCGAGGGAAACAGGTGTGTTGGTTAAATTTCTGGTTTCAAAATCAGGTTCTTCAGAGAGATATACATTCCAATCTTAAAAAAAGAGTTGAAGATGCACTTGAAGGCAAATCACACGACAAATGCTGTGTACAATATGTTACTTTATGGCACCAACCAGGGGCTGGAGGAACAACCGCAGCCATGAATGTTCTTTGGGAGCTTCGTAGAGAGTACAGGTGCTGCCGTGTGCTAAATATCACCGAAGAAACAGCTGTGCATTTAGAAGAAGTTTGGCATTTCAGTGAAGATTCTATTGGCAGGTCTCCTAAACCTCTTTTGGTTTTAGTCGACTATGTCGATGATGATCAATATATCCAATTCAAGAATAAGCTGGAGGTTTTGGGACAAATGAACAGTATACATTTTGAAGAGTCTTTTGACGTTTTTTGCACTATAATCGAATGTCATAGAAATACTTTTCCAATAGAAGACTCAAACAAACTACAGTTGCTACATACCCTATCAGATAGAGAGCTTAGATGGTTTGATGAAAAGAATAAACAAACAAATTATAGAATTAACTTATGTGATTATTTTGCTTTTAACATCATGCAAAATAATTTCAGCCTTGATTGCATTCCTGTTATTGAACAAATGTGTAATGATATATGTGACAAATGGGAAAGGAAACTCCTTCTAATTGTCTCTTTTTTAAATGTTTATGACTTGGCTTTTAGGCCCGTCAAAGTTTCTTGGCTGGACTTTATGTTTAAAAACAGAAATGTATCGCGTGTAGAGAAAACTACTGTGTTTACGCGCGAAGTTAAGTGGGAAGCAATGCTAAGCAGCAGCATTAAAGTATTGATGAATATATCAAACTATTCAAGAAAATCACTGAGAATTATAAACAAACGGGTTGCAAAAGAAGTTTTGAAGTACATGTTATTGCGCACTGGCACTAAAAGAAGTCAAATCATGATAGAACTGTGTGACCAAATCTACCATCAAACTGGCCAACAAGCAAATAACTTTAGACATCTAATACAATGTGTGGCTATGAAAATTGAAGTGGGAGAAACAGGAATAAAAAATAAATATTCACCATTTGTACTTGACGTAATAAAAAAAGAAGACTATGATGTTTCTGCAGATGTTTTAATTAAATTGTTTGAAGTAAGTCAAGATCCATTTATTGCTCAAATTATAGCAAAATTATATACGGACAAGGGAAACTGGGAAAAAGCTGAATATTTTGCATTCCGGGCAACTTTAATGAATCCAGGAAATTCATGTCTTTGGGACACTTACGGCCGAGTTTTTAGTTCTCAACTTACAGATTATACCAAAGTAATTCAAACTAAATTTGGCCCTGTAGATTCAAACGTAATAGCAGCTGTTAAGATCGCATTTGAAGCATTAGAGAAATTCAAGAAAGCACAAGAAACAAGTGAATACAAAACGGCGAATATAGAAGTATTTAATACTGCAAGCTATTTTGGAGAATTAGTGACAATTAGGCAAGTTCTCAATGTCATTAAGTTACATTCAGCTTTCAGAGAGCTTTCAAAACTACACAAGTATTTGGTTGATCTAAATTACTGCCCAGATGATCTCTGTTTTCTTCAAGATTACAAATTTTTCTTGAAGAGTTTGGTTTTTAGAGCGACGCAAGGAATCCGAAGACTGGATGAAGAGTATTTTCAACTAAAACGTGAAAGTAGCCAAGAAAAAAGAATAAAGGTCGATTTAAGCAGAGATAATTTAATAAAATTAAAGTCAGACTTAGATTACTATTTTGATATAACTAAAATTACTACTGAACCAAAACTTGTGCGAGAAGCTTGTACGTATAGACTTCGTGTTGCTCAAAGTAAAGGTGCTTCGTCACTGAGCCAAACTTTAGAACTAAGAAAAAATGGCAAATCACAGGACTTAATTGATTGTGCTCGTCTATTGGTAATAAACGTAAAGTCACCTTCGGCAACATTTTACGATTTTAAAGCCTTGTTGGATGTTCTAACGGTATTAATTGTGGGTGTTGAAACACCACCAGGTCTCACTTTTGAACACTTGCTCGGCTGGTGTAAAAAATTCTACTACCATGAACAACCTAAAGAATCAACCCGCCGCTTTTTGGAGCCAGTGATGTACTTTGTAATGTACAATTTTCCCACAGAAGAGAGAGTGACATTTAATCTTTGCACTGTTGAAGTTTTGAAAAATGCAATGGTAGAATGGGGGAATACTTTCAAAAATAATTATCCGTATCTAGATATAGGCTTATCTATGTTAAGAAAAAGTGCTACTACTCTCTTTTTCCTAGGAAACGGGCAACCACTGCAAGATATTATACATCTAGATCACATAGAAATCATTAATTATAAGCATACACGGAATCTTTATGAAATAAGGAAACGTCTCAGAATGATGACAGGTGTACTTTTAGAAGGTGGAGAAAAAGTGAAAACATGCCTGCCTACTAAAAATGGCAAGCCAATTGCTTTAGAAATCTTAACCGCTTATCCCGTGTACAAAAAAAATATGTGGTCAAGAAGTGTTTATTTTTATTTGGGATTTAGTTTTTCAGGGCCTAAGGCATTTGGAATTTCATTGGAAGAATTAGAGACTGGCAGAAACTAAACCACAATTGAATTTAAAATAAATACATAGATGATCTACGTGGTATATGAACTGTTAGAAATTGTATTCATGAAGAGATAATAGTAGTTTTATGATACATAACAAGTTGAACATATTTCAAAAAGATTCAAGTAACATTACATATTGATAATATCGTGGATGTTCTAATGATATTATTTTATAGTACAATTTTCATTGCCGTCACTAGGTTTGGTGCAATCGATAGCTGTAGCTAAAGGCGTGCACTGGGGAAGACGAACCATTCTTAGGATAGGGGCGTCTAGCTCATAAAAATTAAAATACATGTTATTGTTATTATTTTTGTTAAAACATTCCAAATCAGTCAGTAAATCAAAGTTACATAATAAATGTGAAATGGAAACACCCATCGGTTTTGTATCAGTGTAATGTTTAAGCTGCTAGATGTGGGATAGAAATTATAAGTGCACCTCCAGCATAGTTCAAGTGGTCAAGGTGGAGCTATTTAATGAATTTGCTCTGTTTTAGCGTTTTTATAATCCACACAAAGAAGAGAAGGAAAGGGATAGATAATAGATACAAAAACAGCTTTTCATTCTGTTCAAACAAATGAGCCGTTAGTAAATAATTTTAAATATATGACAAACGATTGTTGGATCTTGAAATGCTAAGTCTGATGTAAATAAATTTTAAATCGTATGCCACAATTTAACTATAACTCTATCACCAAGTTTGCACCTGGTGCGGTCAGCATCCTCCACCCTCAGCCTAATGTACTTTAGACCAGGTCGTCCAGCAGTTTTTTTAATATTTTTCTATTTGTTTTATGTGACGTCAATTTTTTTCCAATGATTTTTTTTCGCTACTTATATGTTCTTTAGAGCGTTCTTGGCACAACCATGAACACTTCTCTGGTTGCATAATTAAAGTTATGTTTCTACATTTAAATATGCCTTTATTTTAATGTTTCGATCTTTAAATAAATTTTTGTTTATGTATTTTATACATCCAACATATTTTCAACAAAAAACCATAAGTTCTCCATGTCATATTGAAGTTACTGATCTCAAAGCCTCGGAATATAAGTGACGGACAGAGAGACATAAGCTTTTATATATTAGGATTCTATTACTTTTAAAATATCAAGTTTTAAAAGAACAAATACGCCTATTTTTCAGTAACTGTTTAGTAAACAAATAATAATTTAATATATTAATTTTTTAAAAATTCTTTGTTTGGTATAATTATGACGTCGGTTACATTTTAAAATTGAACTAATGATATTTATATTTCTTATGCTAAGTTACACGTGTATTTTAGATTCGTTCTGCACGAAAGTGTGTCCTATACAACAATATGAATACGAAAATAGTTAAAAACTTAAGAGGATTTCTTCTGTTTGCTTCGTTACAATTACACATTTCTGTTTTATGTTATCTCGAATTATTTAATTTTTAACACATAAATATTATTTAACATACGGTTTTTTTTTTGTAGTTTTTAATTGATATGTTTTAATTCCAGACAATTAAGAATGACGTTGATTGAACAATAAATAATTGCAATTTGTAATAATTTAATGTTTTCTATTGAGAGGGTACGGGTGAATGGTTAGATCTACTGCCAGTTGTGAGGGTTGGAAAATGCAACACCACCAAATGTGACATTTCAATTCAAAATATAATGTTCTTTGTTTAAAAAAATGTACAATCAACTTCCTACCTAACTAGACTAATATATACTATCTACTACTACTAATACTAACTACGCACTCCCATGACCAATCCTACCACACTACATTCTAACTCTCTGCTTAGCTCTACACAATTACGTCCGCTCCCCACTACGACCTATTATCAACTGCCTACCTAGCTCTACATTTCTCGACCGTCTCTAACCGATTCATAACACCAACTCTCGGTGTAACTGCAGACCCACGCTCCAGTGGTCAGCTGAACGACCCACGTGACCGGTAAGGTCCTGTATTTTCATGGGTCTCTCTAACCAACTAGCTATAGCCTGTTGCTGCTAACCTCTATCTACTTGAATTATCCGACGTAGCCTTGCGTCATCACATTTATTTAAGTTTTATTTTCATATTTACAAACTTTTGTTGCCTGGTGTATTTAGACAAAGGCAATACACATTAATACTTAAATACATAACAGCAAATATACGACACAAAGTTCACATAACGTCTGATAACCATAACCTGTATTTTAAAGCACTGGCAACAGCAGAGTATCTCTCTTGCAGATTATTATTTCGATTGATTTTTTTTACATTTTTTTTATTTTCACTTATAAGTATGGTGAGAAATGAAATAAACTATATTAAGAAATTAACACACAGTTGCTTTTTGTTTCCTTTTAAATGATACAAGATGCACATGTTTTTGATTTAAAAAAAACATTTTGCTCATCAAAATTTTTATTTCTTAATTCGGTACTAATAACTTTTACCTATCTTACCCGAACATTTTGTACAGCCTACAGTTATACTTTTATTGCTATGCAAAACATGGTACCCCTCGCCCCCCCGGCAAATTTTCACACCACTACGCGGACAGCGGCTATCTTTAAGCGGGTATTATATCTTTTATTGCCCGCGAGGCACCATAAACTATACATCTATCTATCGGCTAAGCACTCGTGTGCCTGCTGGTGTAGTGACTTTTTTCTTTTGTTTTAAAAATAAGTTGGATAAACGCTGTTTTCTACAAAGTAAAATTTGATGTCAAACTCCACATAAGATCATGCGCGTAAAAATTATGAATGGGAAGAGATGCATTGATACGCTGACCAATCATATTATAGTACAGTAAATCAAAATAATTCACGAGAGGTTGCAATTAACCACGTGTGCTAGGCAGCCATCTTGTTTCTAGATAAACAAAACAAGCGCCTGTCTTCGTTTGTTTACTTTATTTGCATTTACTCTTCTATTTGTTAGGGGTAATCCATAAATGACGTCACGCTTTTTTGACGATTTTTACTTTCCCCCCTCCCCTCCGTCACTTGTCGTCACAAAAAGCCAGACCCTCCCCCTTAAAATGACGTCACACCTCAACCTACAACCCCCCCCCCTCAAAATTGCAGTTGAATTTTTTTAAAACATCGATATTTTTCCAAAATCTTGCCTAAACTATTACAATTTATTAAAACAGTTATCTAAAACGCCAAATAACGTCTAAAATTCGTTTTCTAACATAGCTTTTTTATAATGCAAAAGTGTGACGTCGCAACATCTGAACCCCGCCCCCCCCCCCCCCCCTCCCCCTCATCACACATCGTCACAAAATTACGGACCCCCTCCCCCCTACGAGTGTGACGTCATTTATGGATGACCCCTTATTTTAAAATTATACAACAACATTAAGTTTAATTATTGAAACTTTGCCAATAAATGTGCTGTTGATTGTCACTGGAACACTATTAAACACTGTTTAGGACGTTTTATACTAAGCTAAAACGATGCGTCATGGACATGTCTGTCAGTTTGAAGAATGTACGATGTCCATCCCCTATATCCCTCTCATCCCGTTCTCGCCATTCAACCAACGAGCGGTTTATAATCTTGTTACGGCATGCTGTGATAGGTTTGAACGCGTTCATCAGACTTTACATCGGACTGTAAATGGCACTTGTGTTAATGTGCAGACCCTTGGCTCCGTGTACCGTTAAGCATTCACTTAGGTCCTGTACTTAGGCCCTATCTATATAAATGTGTTATTCACGGTTGAATAAACATTCGTAATCTATGTCTCTATGTTAGATCTCCACGCACTATCCAGCAGTGGGGAGGAGTGGGTGAATGGAGGGGGGGGGGGAGTGCATTAAGCACTGTTCCGAGGATTGTGTAGTAAGCTATTATCAAAAGGCAATAACATTGTATAAGCTACAGACCGTCGGGTCCAGGTTATTTGTTGGCGCTTAGTTTTTAAGGGCTTCTTTTATGTCGTATAGTTGTAGGTGTGTCAAAGACAACAACACTGTCAAATTATTTCGTTGATAGCTTTCAACTATTTTACTGGTCGCTACAATGATTGTCTTGTTTGAAATGTTTTCTAACCTACATTTATATAAATGTTACTAAAAATAAACTCTAAGAATGCGGATATTTGATATTCTAACCGGGATAACGACTCGCTTTGTCCTATACCGCGGGTGTACACTTGTATGGGATTGCTATCTTGACACCTTGTGATGTATTAGAATACAGAGGGGTGTCATGTCACCAGTGATGGTGTTAGAATACAGAGGGGTGTCAGGACACCTTGTGGTGTGTTAGAATACAGAGGGTTGTCAGGACACCTTGTGGTGTGTTAGAATACAGAGGGTTGTCAGGACACCTTGTGGTGTGTTAGAGTACAGAGAGGTGTCATGACACGTTGTGGTGTGTTAGAATACAGAAGGGTGTCAAGTCACCACTGATGGTGTTAAAACATCTCTATGACCGACACGTCAGCAACCCATGACGTGTGTTGTATGTAAACCACACAACTAAACTCGTCCCAAACTTGATTGATCACGGCAAATAATGTAAAAACCCGAGTCTGACGGTAAATTGTGTGCTGTGGGGGGGGGGGGGAGATAAAAGAACACCCACAGGCAGCAGATAAGGTACAAGGTGGGGTGTAGGATGTTTTGTGTGGGACATAGCCCAGGTGTTGTTGTCTGACAATGAAACTCAATCTATTTAGATCTTTGTGTACAATTGTTTGCCAATGTATTTAAACATTTTTAGATTTTAGTCAACAATTTTTATTCCCGTGTTATTGTCACACAGTTTTGATCCTTGTATTGCTCGTGACGGTTCATGATGTATCGATGTTCTATTGTCCAACCAAAATGTGAACTTTATTTTTATTTAAGATTTTAACAACAGCACACGCTTATGTAATTGGTGGGCGTTTGTTATATCAATGTATAGGCAAATATGAATGTAAAAGCTATGTGTGTACAAACCTCCTAACTTAATTACACATATATCTACGTTGGTATATACACGTTATCAGTCGTGATTGAAACTTATTTTAGTTTTCACCTTACATTCTAAGCAACCTTGACCTTACCCCGTTGTTTACGTGTCTACGTGCTTGAATAAGCACATTTTCACTTTATTTTAACAATGGATTTAATGCAGCTAAAAACAGGTTGTGAAATACCTGAAAGCTATTTATAGACGGCTTTGTTGTTGTTGTTTTTTAAATAAACATTCCGTGACGCAGCAAGTATTGTCCATTTTTCCGCGAATTTAAAATATATATTTTTTGAAAATGGAAAGAAAAGAGGATGATTCTTTTTAATGGAAAAGGATTTAACTAAACCATAAGGGTTTAAATATATACAAATATAAAAATCCTGTTTGCGTTTTTTATCTTTAAGGTGAGAACTCTATGTTAAGAGCTTAATTATACGATCAAATAGAACCTGATGGCCAAGGTGTCTTGGACATTTGGGGTGTACATTTAGTTTATCGTGGGGAGGGGGGGGGACAGGCTGTAGGCATTAAACAATTGTTAAAAAAAATGTATTCTCATGTGACCAACATGTGTTGCGAAACTTTCAAAGAAATGTAAATTAAGTGGGAACGTCGTTTCTTAGAAACAAGGATAACAGTAAAAATGCTATTAATAGATTATTACAGGAATTTTTCAACCTGTTTAATGCTGCGTCGAATTTGTGGGTGGAAGAATTAAAGTCAACATTTGGCAAACATTCAAATACACAACATTTGGCAAACATTCAAATACACAACATTTGTCAAACATTCAAATACACAACATTTGGCAAACATTCAAATACATTCAAATACACAACATTTTGCAAATATTCAAATGCACAACATTTGGCAAACATTCAAAAACACAACATTTTGCAAACATTCAAATACACAACATTTTGCAAACATTCAAATGCACAACATTTGGCAAACATTCAAATACACAACATTTGGCAAACATTCAAATACACAACATTTAGCAAATATTCAAATACACAACATTTGGCAAACATTCAAAAACACAACATTTTGCAAACATTCAAATACACAACATTTTGCAAACATTCAAATACACAACATTTGGCAAACATTCAAATACACAACATTTTGCAAACATCCAAATACACAACATTTTGCAAACATTCAAATACACAACGTTTGGCTAACATTCAATAGCCGTCAATAGCAGTACTGGTTGCCATGGAAACCGCGAAATGTGTGAAGACTAACACCTTTTCAAAGCCCTATAACTTTGTTCCCATTAAAGATTTTTAAAAACGGATGAAAGATTTAGATTTCTCAAACCAAACTATACATTTCTACGTTTGTTCATTTTAATACACATTTTATGGTCCTGCATTCTCCTAATAGGTCTGTCAGGGTGAGCCGCCTGATATTTATGACATAGGTCTGTCACAGTATCCAGGGTTCTTGGTTTCCGTTCTTGTAGATAAATAAACACACCTTTGTGTACTAAAGTTAGGACTTTATTAACCATGGTAAATTCTTTCAAGTTTTGCATAGTCCGAATGCTTTGAACCACTTATCAAAAGCTGTCCTGATGTTGTTGCTGTATATTTTAAAGTCCTCATTATTCGCAGGCAGTAAGTCTTGAAATTTAAATCGATACGCCTCCTCAGTCACATGATAAAATTCCAATATAGTCTATTTCAGGGTCCGATAGTTCTTTATTTCATCCTCAAATAGGAAGGTAATCAACGGGCGTCAATTAATTAGATGGCATCCAGACTTTCCCTCCGATCAATATTAGTAGGTGTGTCTTCCACTGGGGCTCATGAATGCTGGTGGTTTTCGCTATGGTCTCAAATCGTTTGATATAAGAGTCATGATTATCTCTATATTCATCAAATTTAGGTATGTTCCCTAAGTTATTTAAATCATTAATATGAGTCCTACCTACATTAATTACGGACTTAGTGATTCCTGATTAGGCCAATTCCAGTTTTGCTTCATATTCTAGTTTTATTTGTTTTATATTTATTCTAGCTTGTTCTTCAACCCACGATATAATCATTGCTACATCTAGTTTCGTTTGCTTCTCAGCCTGTAATCTAACTATATCTGTAATCTGCAGTCTGAGCTTTAGCCTTCTCTCCTTTAATTTAGAAGCTTCAAATCCAGTGGAAATAGAGGATAATTCTTCCAACAACCTTAGTTTTCACTCATTCATGTTTCTAACTCCTCACCCTTATAGTCTAACTAGAGATTTTCACAATTCAAGCAGCCTCTTTGTTTGATCGACACTCATTTTTGTTTCTTTCGAACAAGTACCATACACTACAAGCAATTCCTAAATCAAATATTACAATTTTTTTGAGCCTACCACAAATGTGCCTATGAAATTTAAAAACAAATGGTGGTACTTATCTTGGGTAACGGAAAAAATACAACCCATTCACAAATTCGGTCTCCACACGTGTTTTCATTTTAGCTGCTTCACTAAATGTTAAGCTATGTGAGAGGTTTGAGTTGTCCGATTCAATTCCATTTTAATTCCACTAACATGTGAAGATATTGTACCCGCAGGCAAGCGTTATATAATTATTCATCCAGACAACACAGGTGACGACAATCAACAAGATAAAAGCAGGTTTCTTCTTCTTGTATTTATTCTCATACTAAACTCACGTAGGCCTACAGCCTTTCACCAAGACGAAGAAAATCAGACTAACTCACACACACTACCACCCAGCAACCCGTCTCTACACAACAACTTTACTGTCACACTATAGGTATCATCATTCCATTCGTCACCATACCTTTCGCACCAACATTTACTCGCACCAATCTATACTTGGAACATGCATCATAACATTCATGAAACTACAGAAGTCTCAGAGGTCATGAAAACATGTTGTCTAAGGTGCGACGTCTTTTGAAATGTGGGATCTGGCTTTTTCTTCTGTGACAGTGGGGAGGGGAAGGGAAAAGTTCAAACTTACGAACCACTGCTCAACACTGTAAAAATGTAAATGTTGATATAGAAAACTGTTAAATGATTTATGAACTCGAATTAATTATACTTAACAAGTAAGAATGTCATTCGGCATTATTTCTGCGAATAAAGAAAATAATTACGTAAATTCCCAAATCAAACTTTAAAGTAGAAATCGTGAAATGTTTACATCCCTTAAATAAAGTTATCTTTTCAGAACAGTCTGGTCACTTACATAATTGCTACAAAAAAACCCCACAAATATCCTTTAAAAATGTTTGCATTTATTCAGGTAAAATATAATTATGTTCTGGTGTTAAACCTCAACAAATTCCATGTCTAGTAATCTACCTGCCTACATTTTGGCTCAGTTTTCAAAAGCTGTTAAACGGGTTGTTTGAGCAGTAAGGATAGTCTCTGGATGTTGTCAAAAGTGGATGGTTCTGGAACATTTGTTTGACGTGTAGGTCAGCCCAAACAAAAGCCGACCTGTGCTGAAGCAAATCTTCAGGGATGCTGTCTATTATAAAATTGGCTTTCTCCTCAGTAAATCCCATATTATAAAAAGTTTCTTTATTTATATTATTTGCATTGTTAGTACTATGTTTATGGTTCTGTTCCAAAGATGCTATTACCGACTCACATACACCTTTATATGTTACTGTGCCATTTATGTTCAAAACACCGTCCCTAAGACCCAATATAGCGCACATGATCTCGCTATCAGACAGTTCTGGTACATTATAAAATGGCCAACACTGGTATTTGATAGATGTACCTTTTTCAAAATCACCCAAAAGATCACTAATTTTCTCTTCACAATAATGAAAACCCCATGGCATACATGCTAGAAAACCACAGAGTGCCTTTGAAATTTGTTTTATCTTGTCCATGGTTTCCGTGTTCGATGATATAGCCTGCATAAAAAAAACAAGTTAATAAAAATAGATCTGTTGTAGCGTAAAGCACACAGGGGGACAAAACACAAGACGTATAATGCTGGGGTGCGTTCAAGCTAGGAGAACGATCGGTTTGTAGGTGTTTATGTCATTTAAAAAAAAATTGTGAACGAACGAACGGATATTTTTGAAAACTTTCTTCTGCAATATTGTTCTAAATTATGGCAGGAGTCGATTGGTACATGTTTCAAGTCGCTAAGTGGTCTGGTTGCCGTGATATGGGCCAAAAACTGCATTTTGTCGAGATTTTTTGGCTTTTCCGGGAAATCCAGGAAGGAATTCCGGGAATTTTTTTGGCCTATGTTCATCCTCGAAACTTGCTTAACATATTTGCTTTGGAACTAGTCCTCGATATTGCTTCGTTGAGGAGGAGATACGACTTAAAGCTGGGGACACACATCCATCCAGAAATGACGAGTTAATAATCGCAATCCCCCAGTATGGAAATTGCGCTAAAAATATTTAAAGTCAGTCTAAATACTTTATATTAATATATATATATATATAATTCTCTCCTGGGAGACGTTAAAAAACAAGCTGCAAGCGCGCCATGCAGCCCCCTCTCTTCCTCTCTATCACTACCACCCCCTACCCCCCACCCCCCTCACATGGTCTGGTGAGCTGTGGTTCACGCCAAATATTTACATTTTACAATCACAGAGAAGGGTTTGGTGACGGCTATTAAGGGCAGATAACTTAGTTTGAAACGATTTTAAACTTTGAGGAGGTAACTAAGAGGAGGATGCTTTCACGGGGTGGAGGGGGGGTGGGTGGGGAGGGGGTTTAGTGTTTTAAGCAAATATTTTCAGTGGCAGCATTGGTACTGTCGAAGTCAAAAATTATGAATTCCTGAAAAGTAGAAAAAACAACAACTAAATAACGTCGTATGATACGCCGCGGGTCGGCTCATATATATATATAATTCTCTTCTTTGAGACGTTAGAAAACAATCTGTAAGTGCGCCTTGCAGTCCGCACTATTCTTCTCTATCGCTATCACACCACACCTACCCCCACATTGTCTGGTGAGCTGTGGTTCACGCTAAATGTTTACAATCGTAGTGCCGGGTTTAGTGACGGTTATTAGGAGCAGATAATTTAGTTTGAAACGATTTTAAACTTAGAGGAGGTAACTAAGAGGAGGCTGCTTTCACCGGGAGGGGGGTGGGGGGGGGTTGGGGGAAAGTTGGGTTTTAGTGTTTTAAAGCAAATATTTTCAGTTTCAGCATTGGTACTGTCGAATTCAAAATTATGAATTTCTGAAAAGTAGAAACATCAACAAAATAGCAGCGTATGATACGTCGCGGGTCGGCTCGTATATAAATATATAATTCGCATACACACACACGCACCCAGGCGCATATATATATATATATATATATATATATATATATATATATATATATATATATATATATATATATATTATAACAGTGAAATGTTGGTGGATTGTATCTTTGGAGTGTGTGTGTTGAGGGAGGCGATATTGCATCAGAGAGACAAGGACTGGGCGCATGCGCGAAAGGAAGAAGTGAGGGCGGGGTCTTAGTGGACACGATGCCTGTGTGAAACAAAATAAATATGAAAACTTGCAAGAAGAAGGCTTGGCTTTTGATTTTGTATGTGTAATATAAAAGGTAGGAGAAAGGCCCGTGACATATATATATATATATTTATGTACACATCAATACATAATTAATTCACCTGTTGTAGATTCTTAAGCAGATGATTGTTGTAAACCAGAATTAATGTTGCAAAGGTCAATGAACTCCTCATCTCCTGGGCTGTTGTTGATTTACTCACAGTAAAATTCATTTTAATATTTTTCTTTTGGTCAGAATTTAGGTAGAAGACAACTTCTCCCCCCTTGATGCTCTTAAACCATATTTGTTGACCATTTTCTGGCGCCTTGAAACATATTTTGTGCTGTTTCACTTCACAGATGTGTTTCCAGTAGGACTTTAACAGGTCAAAAAACTTCTGAAAGTACCGTTTATTTGTGCCAGAGAGCTGTTAAAGTATAAGATTTATTTTTAAATGAAATACTTAAAAACTTAATAAATTATGTTATTTTTCACATCTCGTAAAGAGTGTATTTTTTAACGAAAGTAATTAGGATATAAAACAACAACTTGTACAAGTGATGGCAGTTATAAACAATTTCATAACACAGATATTCAAACCAACCTGCATGAGTTCATCAAAGGAAATTATTTTATCTTTATCGACATACTGCTTCAGCTCACTACTTTCTTGTTTGTAAATTAGAAACACATCACACTTAAATTTTAGATCTGCTACACGGTTTTTAATTTTTTCCATCAATCTCTTGTCACCTAATAAATAAAAGAGCATACAATTTTAAGTCTGTCTATTAATATATAAAATGGCTCCCTAGTCTATGTAAACCATCTGTAGATTTGCGCATTGGAAATTCAATCACAAAACCAGTGCCCACTAAGTTGAGAAGAGCCAGATGTTGCCCATGTACCAGACCCCGTCTATCTACACATATGATGGACCCGAGGGACAGGACGTTAGCTGAACAGTTTCAAATCAGCCCTACCACTCCAACCCCGATCTCCAAATAAAATATTAAATATTAATATATATACATATATATATATATATATATATATATATATATATATATAATTTTAAATATTTATATATATGTATATATACATATATATATATATATAAATATATAAATATATATATATATATATATATATATATATATATATATATATATATATATATATATATATATATATATATATATATATTTAAAATTATATATGTTACGGCCGGCCAATGCGCGCATCGGACAATATCGCCTCCCATAGGTCGGTCAAAGTATGAAATAGCTCTTGATTTCGGAAAAAGTCTTAATTAGAAAATCATCTGGCTAGGGTTGACCGGCCAAAGTCCGAATTAGAAGATCATGAGGAGATTTTGTTTTTTTCTTATGCCGTAAGGATCATGAAATTAAGTCTTTATTTATTATTAATTAAAGTAAATGACAGAAACATTCAATTTTTTTTATTGTACTATAGTCTTAATCAATCAATATTATCATTTGTTACAACAAGTTGAACTTTTATGGCATTTAGAATTACATATTAGCTTGTTATTTTTACACTTGCAGCGAGTTGTTGTGCACTTAGTTGTGCAATTGCAGCGAGTGTAGCCTTGGCCCCCAGTCAATGATTGTGAAGATGCGATGGTTCGTAGTGAATTTTCCTCAGTGCCAACTGACGACAATAAAAGCAGTTTTTCGTGAAGAATTGAAAACACTTCTAGCATACAGTTGTTTTAGAACACCATGTTCCGTTCCTAATTTGTAGAAACCGCCCTCGACGCTCCTGACAACTGCAATCACGCTTCGGGGATCACCGTGACCTCTTTCAACATCTGGAACACGGATGCGTACATTGTCACTCACTTCACCATCTTTAAATTTTGTATTTGATGTTTTAAGCATCTTAGCACCTTGAGTTTGCAAGCCAGTATGAGCTGCTGATCTGTGTTCCATGATGTCTTGTTTGTTGTGACACAATCTGCAGGTAATATTCCCTCCGTACCCTTTGTCTGCTTCATTGGGTATTCCACAAACAGAATGTACAGCGTTGCCACAGGATCCAAAAGAATGAGCTGCACTACAATGTTTTTCACAAACTAAATAAAATCTGTTGGCCACATTATTGTCACGCAACTGGTCTGGGCGTTCCGCCACGGCAGTAGATGTGTTAGCTGAGGATGTCGTTGCATTTATGGCAACCTCCATTTCTTGTTCAATGTTCTCAAGATCTTCCCCAGTAACTATTTTATCGAGAGCCCATATATGGAAACTAACATGGATTTACACTTTTTTTCTTTTAACAGCCATCTGCTATGTCTGTCTCATGGTCTGACGGCCCTTTTGGCCCTTTTGATCCATGTCGCTCTGCATATAGAATGCTATACAAACAAGAGCTAAACAATACGTTACTCTCAATGAAAACGCACCCAGAATAATGAAAATGCGATTACAAATTAGTCTAGATAGAACATTGGCCAGGCATCCCAGCCAGTGCGCGCATTGGCCGGCCAATGTACAAAATACGCTGTCAAGTTTAAGCGCTTCGGAGTTTGGCCAGTACGTCCCGGCCAGTGCGCGCATTGGCCGGCCAATGTACGAAATACGATCTTAGTGCTAAGCTCTTCGGGCTTTGGCCAAGAGAGCCGGCCAATGCTCGGATTGGCCGGCCCATCCGCGCTTTGACCGCACTTCGGGCTTTGACCGTAACATATATATATACTAGTACTAGCCGTCCCGGCCAGGCCCTGCTCTGGCTTCTGTGAAAAACCTTTCTGTTAAAGACCATTACCTGTGTGTTTAGTAATCATCATAAACCCGGCATTGCCCACCCAAACCACAACCAACCAAAACAACAAAACGCAAACATAACGCTAACACAATTACAAATACAAACGAAAACAAAAACCTAACAACAAACACAACCACAAACACCAATACGAACACAAAGAAAAAAAAAGAAAAAGAAAACAAAAACAAACCAAATCCAAACGCAAAACCAACCACAAACACAAACCCAAAGAAAAAAACAAACGAAAAAGCAAACGAAAACAAACTAAATCCAAAGGCAAAACCAACCACAAACACAAATACAAACCCAAAAAAAAAAATACAAACGAAAACGAAAAAAGAAAGAACAAAAACGAACCAAATCAAAACGCAACCACTAACGCAAACCCAACCTAAACACAATGAAAACACAAAGGCGAACATAAACGCAAAGTGCTCACAGTCTAGCCCGGGGCAGAATCGCCTGTTTCAGCTTAATAAACGACTATTGTACCCCAACTTATTCAAAGTCTTAAACGAGCGAAGGTGCCAAACCAAACCAAATGAACAATTATAATACTCCAAGCTAAACCGTATAATACCTACAACATTTGCACTTGATCAATCCCCGCTAATTATGTAATTATTTTTTCCCAACACCAAAACAAAGTAATAAAAAGTAAATTCTTTTCCACCAATGCAATTTTTCATAAAGGGAAGTAATTGTGTTTTCCTAATTTATCAAAGGGAAGTAAGTGATAAAGGACTAAATATGAATAATTTTCAGACATAATTAGAATTTTTGTTATTTTTTTAAAATTATGTTTAATGAACATGCCGACAATTATTATTATCAGTTTGAAAAATGGAAATTATTTCCCAACACTTTCAATAGTAATTTTTTAACTCATAAATTTAGACTATGAGCACGATAATAGTCTAACACTTAAATCCATAGAAGTATGTCAACGACAAACAAACAAACTTATTTTTACATACAGAATTGAGCTTTATTTATTAGATATATATATATATATATATATATACATATATATATATATATATATATATATATATATATATATATATATATATATATATATATATATATATATTTATATATTTATATATATATATTAATATTTAAAAATTATATATATATATATATATATATATATATATATATATATATATATATATATATATATATATATATAAATGAAGTTTTTGTATTTATATATTTATATATATATATTAATATTTAAAAATTATATATATATATATATATATATATATATATATATATATATATATATATATATATATATAAATGAAGTTTCCACAGTAGTGCACTAGACAACGAAGTGATACATTTGTAATTTATAATTTATAGAGCAAACGTTACTTGTAATTATTACAACAGCTGTTTGAGGTGGCCATGAATTAAACTTATCGAAAGACTCAATGATCTCATTATCCGCTGAATCCTTCCCCTTCAGGACGTGATGTAATTCGACCTATAAAATAAAATTGTATTTACGTATTACAGATCTAAGAAAACATGATATGGCATTAGTAGTCGCGTGGTAGAGCTCTTAACCGCTTATCATAAAGTGTAATATTCTGTTCCAGGATTCTAGCCCTGATGAGGTCTTTGAATAGGCTAAGCAAATAATTGATGTGGCCGACGGTTTCTATACTACGAGATCTATATAGATCCATTACAAAACAATATCTGCATCACGATTTATACGATACCTTGTTACAAGTATTTAGTACTGTAACGCGAATTTTCGAGGGTTTAATAAATCGGTTGAATGTTCTATTTATCTATAGTCAAACTAAAGCTAATGCTTCTAAACTTATCGTTGCCTACTAACCAAGTGTCCCATAAATCGTATCAACTCGATCATTCTGTTCTCTCCGCACCGTACTTGCACTACAAAATATTCTCACAGTAACAAAGAGGCTACTCATTAACCATTTGAAATTGTTTCAATAATTAATTAAGTCTAAGCTGTTTTTAATTAATTATCTCCGTTGTTATCGATGTTTAGTCCTGTCGCGTGCATCGGCAACGGACATGTCATTAAATTCGGCCAGTGTTATAATGCACCAGTGTGGCAAAAATGAACCAGATCCATACTGGCGTTTACATTTTTATTAAAGATATGAACAGTCGGTCCGCCATCCGCAGGAATACTTTAGTTTTTATATAGATTCAAGTAGTTCAAGTTAAGAAGATCGAACATGTACTCTTTTAGTGCACCCTTAGAAAAGGGATTATGACTCAAAAGTTTTATTCTTTTTTTTATAAGTTTTTATTTAACTTGCTTTTTCTTTCGTCATAGATCGATAGCAAAAATTGGCTCGCGGGTCAAGACCAGACGACAATGTAATAACATTAAATTTGATTTAATTAGATGATTAATTTATTACTTTCTCATATATACGATTAATAGAGAAAGTCTTGTAATCGTGCAAAATAAATCGAGATTTTTACAAATCTCGACGTTTTACACCTCATTGATACAGAAATAAATAATTTTGCAATCTTGTCCGTTTGTCTCTGTGTATGTCTATGTGTGTGTGTCTCTATGTGTGTCTGTAAACACGATAACTTGAGTACCGTTACAACTAGGTTGATGAAATTTCATATATAAGTATTTTATCAAAATCGAAGATCCTTGTCCTTTTTTGAGCTATTTCCAATAACCGGAAGTGGAACTTTTACTACTTTTTATTTTTCAAAAGCCTATAACTTGAGTACTATTTCAGATAGATAGATGAAATTTAACATATAACTAAAAGATCTAACTCTCCACCTTCTGTCGATTTTTGAGTAATTTCCGTTGACCGGAAGTACTAATTTACGCTATTTCCGATTTCTCAACATCTAATGTAAATTTATAAAGTACTAATAATATTCCGCACTATTATGCACATTTTATTTGGCGTTCACTGGTGTGTAATTATTTTTTCTACGACATTTTATTCTGATTTAAAAACTTTAAGTATTTAAAATGGATTAAAAATCATGTCTACATCCCGAGTTCCCATCCCCTGTTTTTTATATAAGAATATTCGAGAAAGTTTAGGGGAGATCACTCCCGGTTTATTTTTTAATGAATTTAATAAAATTGTCATGTTCATTTGGTGCGAAATAGTTTTTATTCAAGCAACTCTGTTGTATTACGATGGTTAAACTACTGAAAAAAGGATAAAAACGTTTTTATTTCAAACTTTTATATAATAATGCACTAAAAAGGAGAAAATAAAGGATTCTCTTTGTATATATATATAAAATAATACACCACCATTTAAAAACGAGTAATAAAAGCTTCGATCTCTTCCTAAATATTAGTTAAGGAATCCAATGTATAATGCAGAGTCGCCGCTTTTCTTTATAGTTATATAAATAGTAGTGTATTATTATATATTTAAAGAAAATCCTTTATTTTCTACTTTTTAGTGTTTTATTAAATAAAAGCTTATCATTAAAACGCTGTTTTTTTTGCATTAAAAAAAATTCTTGCGATGTATTGTTTTTGCTATTATTGTTTTTGTAATTTATAAACTGACTTGTAACGTTGTATAACACAAGCTTTGATGGGAAAACAAAATTTATATTTGATCTCAAGGACGGGATGTGCTTTTTAATATGTCCAGAACAATAGTCACTCTACCCTTTAATAATCGCCATTTAGTATGTTTTTTGTTTTTTTGTTTCTTTTTCTTGTGATCATGCAAGTTTAAAATTGAACGAACATACCTTTGCCTCTTGTAAAACCTTGACTAGTGAATCTTTCTGATTTTTGAAGTCAGCTGCACATACAAATAGCGGGTCCTTATTGAAGTATCGTCCATCTTGCTTTGACTTAACGAACTCCTTGACTTTTTCAATCATGAAGTTTGTTCTATCAATTCCAACTTGAACATTTTCAATGTCCCAGAAGACGCCCCAGTAAATAGTTGTTGATTCTAGAAGGAGGCGAAAAGGGCAAACATAATACAAATACAGAAATTACACTCAATTGTGTGCATGTATAAAATTATCTTATTGGTAGTTCATAATTCTATTGCCTTCGATTATTTTGACTGAGGGCAAAAAAAGTAATATATTTTACATGACAGTCTTGGGCGTCATACGATTTTGGTACACAAGCCAATGTAATAAAAAATTTTAAGCTATTTTTTTAAATATTCAACCTTTTAATTTCTGATATTAGTTTGAATTCTTTTCTCCAAAATTCGACACTAGATGTGTCTGTAGTCATCTAAGTGTGACGTCAGTTTTAGCCATCCAGTTGATGTTATGTCTGACAGTAAACTGGACCTTGCACTGTACACAAGTAGTGTCCAGCCTGAGCTTCTGTTGGGTGGTCCCAGTGTGACCAGTGGATGCAACAGTTGGCACATACATTTGTATGTAGGCTACCAGTGGATGCAACAGTTGGCACATACATTTTTATGTAGGCTACCAGTGGATGCAACAGTTGGCACATACATTTGTATGTAGGCTACCAGTGGATGCAACAGTTGGCACATACATTTGTATGTAGACTACCAGTGGATGCAACAGTTGGCACATACATTTGTATGTAGGCTACCAGTGGATGCAACAGTTGGCACATACATTTGTATGTAGGCTACCAGTGGATGCAACAGTTGGCACATACATTTTTATGTAGGCTACCAGTGGATGCAACAGTTGGCACATACATTTGTATGTAGGCTACCAGTGGATGCAACAGTTGGCACATACATTTGTATGTAGGCTACCAGTGGATGCAACAGTTGGCACATACATTTGTATGTAGACTACCAGTGGATGCAACAGTTGGCACATACATTTGTATGTAGGCTACCAGTGGATGCAACAGTTGGCACATACATTTGTATGTAGGCTACCAGTGGATGCAACAGTTGGCACATACATTTTTATGTAGGCTACCAGTGGATGCAACAGTTGGCACATACATTTGTATGTAGGCTACCAGTGGATGCAACAGTTGGCACATACATTTGTATGTAGGCTACCAATGGATGCAACAGTTGGCACATACATTTGTATGTAGGCTACCAGTGGATGCAACAGTTGGCACATACATTTGTATGTAGGCTACCAGTGGATGCAACAGTTGGCACATACATTTGTATGTAGGCTACCAGTGGATGCAACAGTTGGCACATACATTTTTATGTAAGCTATCAGTGGATGCAACAGTTGGCACATACATTTGTATGTAGGCTACCAGTGGATGGAACAGTTGGCACATACATTTGTATGTAGGCTACCAGTGGATGCAACAGTTGGCACATACATTTTATGTAGGCTACCAGTGGATGCAACAGTTGGCACATACATTTGTATGTCGGCTACCAGTAGATGCAACAGTTGGCACATACATTTGTATGTAGGCTACCAGTGGATGCAACAGTTGGCACATACATTTTTATGTAGGCTACCAGTGGATGGAACAGTTGGCACATACATTTGTATGTAGGCTACCAGTGGATGCAACAGTTGGCACATACATTTTTATGTAGGCTACCAGTGGATGCAACAGTTGGCACATACATTTTTATGTAGGCTACCAGTGGATGCAACAGTTGGCACATACATTTTTATGTAGGCTACCAGTGGATGCAACAGTTGGCACATACATTTGTATGTAGGCTACCAGTGGATGCAACAGTTGGCACATACATTTTTATGTAGGTTACCAGTGGATGCAACAGTTGGCACATACATTTGTATGTAGGCTACCAGTGGATGCAACAGTTGGCACATACATTTTTATGTAGGTTACCAGTGGATGCAACAGTTGGCACATACATTTGTATGTAGGCTACCAGTGGATGCAACAGTTGGCACATACATTTTTATGTAGGCTACCAGTGGATGCAACAGTTGGCACATACATTTTTATGTAGGCTACCAGTGGATGCAACAGTTGGCACATACATTTGTATGTAGGCTACCAGTGGATGCAACAGTTGGCACATACATTTTTATGTAGGCTACCAGTGGATGCAACAGTTGGCACATACATTTGTATGTAGGCTACCAGTGGATGCAACAGTTGGCACATACATTTGTATGTAGGCTACCAGTGGATGCAACAGTTGGCACATACATTTTTATGTAGGCTACCAGTGGATGCAACAGTTGGCACATACATTTGTATGTAGGCTACCAGTGGATGCAACAGTTTGCACATACATTTTTATGTAGGCTACCAGTGGATGCAACAGTTGGCACATACATTTTTATGTAGGCTACCAGTGGATGCAACAGTTGGCACATACATTTGTATGTAGGCTACCAGTGGATGCAACAGTTGGCACATACATTTTTTATGTAGGCTACCAGTGGATGCAACAGTTGGCACATACATTTTTATGTAGGCTACCAGTGGATGCAACAGTTGGCACATACATTTTTATGTAGGCTACCAGTGGATGCAACAGTTGGCACATACATTTGTATGTAGGCTACCAGTGGATGCAACAGTTGGCACATACATTTTTTATGTAGGCTACCAGTGGATGCAACAGTTGGCACATACATTTTAATGTAGGCTACCAGTGGATGCAACAGTTGGCACATACATTTTTATGTAGGCTACCAGTGGATGCAACAGTTGGCACATACATTTGTATGTAGGCTACCAGTGGATGCAACAGTTGGCACATACATTTTTATGTAGGCTACCAGTGGATGCAACAGTTGGCACATACATTTTTATGTAGGCTACTAGTGGATGCAACAGTTGGCACATACATTTTTATGTACGCTACCAGTGGATGCTACAGTTGGCACATACATTTGTATGTAGGCTACCAGTGGATGTAACAGTTGGCTCATACATTTTTATGTAGGCTACCAGTGGATGCAACAGTTGACACATACATTTGTATGTAGGCTACCAGTGGATGCAACAGTTGGCACATACATTTTTATGTAGGCTACCAGTGGATGCAACAGTTGGCACATACATTTGTATGTAGGCTACCAGTGGATGCAACAGTTGTCACATACATTTGTATGTAGGCTACCAGTGGATGCAACAGTTGTCACATACATTTTTATGTAGGCTACCAGTGGATGCAACAGTTGGCACATACATTTGTATGTAGGCTACCAGTGGATGCAACAGTTGGCACATACATTTGTATGTAGGCTACCAGTGGATGCAACAGTTGGCACATACATTTGTATGTAGACTACCAGTGGATGCAACAGTTGGCACATACATTTGTATGTAGGCTACCAGTGGATGCAACAGTTGGCACATACATTTGTATGTAGGCTACCAGTGGATGCAACAGTTGGCACATACATTTTTATGTAGGCTACCAGTGGATGCAACAGTTGGCACATACATTTGTATGTAGGCTACCAGTGGATGCAACAGTTGGCACATACATTTTTATGTAGACTACCAGTGGATGCAACAGTTGGCACATACATTTGTATGTAGGCTACCAGTGGATGCAACAGTTGGCACATACATTTGTATGTAGGCTACCAGTGGATGCAACAGTTGGCACATACATTTTTATGTAGGCTACCAGTGGATGCAACAGTTGGCACATACATTTGTATGTAGGCTACCAGTGGATGCAACAGTTGGCACATACATTTGTATGTAGGCTACCAATGGATGCAACAGTTGGCACATACATTTGTATGTAGGCTACCAGTGGATGCAACAGTTGGCACATACATTTGTATGTAGGCTACCAGTGGATGCAACAGTTGGCACATACATTTGTATGTAGGCTACCAGTGGATGCAACAGTTGGCACATACATTTTTATGTAAGCTATCAGTGGATGCAACAGTTGGCACATACATTTGTATGTAGGCTACCAGTGGATGGAACAGTTGGCACATACATTTGTATGTAGGCTACCAGTGGATGCAACAGTTGGCACATACATTTTATGTAGGCTACCAGTGGATGCAACAGTTGGCACATACATTTGTATGTCGGCTACCAGTAGATGCAACAGTTGGCACATACATTTGTATGTAGGCTACCAGTGGATGCAACAGTTGGCACATACATTTTTATGTAGGCTACCAGTGGATGGAACAGTTGGCACATACATTTGTATGTAGGCTACCAGTGGATGCAACAGTTGGCACATACATTTTTATGTAGGCTACCAGTGGATGCAACAGTTGGCACATACATTTTTATGTAGGCTACCAGTGGATGCAACAGTTGGCACATACATTTGTATGTAGGCTACCAGTGGATGCAACAGTTGGCACATACATTTGTATGTAGGCTACCAGTGGATGCAACAGTTGGCACATACATTTGTATGTAGACTACCAGTGGATGCAACAGTTGGCACATACATTTGTATGTAGGCTACCAGTGGATGCAACAGTTGGCACATACATTTGTATGTAGGCTACCAGTGGATGCAACAGTTGGCACATACATTTTTATGTAGGCTACCAGTGGATGCAACAGTTGGCACATACATTTTTATGTAGGTTACCAGTGGATGCAACAGTTGGCACATACATTTGTATGTAGGCTACCAGTGGATGCAACAGTTGGCACATACATTTTTATGTAGGCTACCAGTGGATGCAACAGTTGGCACATACATTTTTATGTAGGCTACCAGTGGATGCAACAGTTGGCACATACATTTGTATGTAGGCTACCAGTGGATGCAACAGTTGGCACATACATTTTTATGTAGGCTACCAGTGGATGCAACAGTTGGCACATACATTTGTATGTAGGCTACCAGTGGATGCAACAGTTGGCACATACATTTGTATGTAGGCTACCAGTGGATGCAACAGTTGGCACATACATTTTTATGTAGGCTACCAGTGGATGCAACAGTTGGCACATACATTTGTATGTAGGCTACCAGTGGATGCAACAGTTTGCACATACATTTTTATGTAGGCTACCAGTGGATGCAACAGTTGGCACATACATTTTTATGTAGGCTACCAGTGGATGCAACAGTTGGCACATACATTTGTATGTAGGCTACCAGTGGATGCAACAGTTGGCACATACATTTTTTATGTAGGCTACCAGTGGATGCAACAGTTGGCACATACATTTTTATGTAGGCTACCAGTGGATGCAACAGTTGGCACATACATTTTTATGTAGGCTACCAGTGGATGCAACAGTTGGAACATACATTTGTATGTAGGCTACCAGTGGATGCAACAGTTGGCACATACATTTTTTATGTAGGCTACCAGTGGATGCAACAGTTGGCACATACATTTTTATGTAGGCTACCAGTGGATGCAACAGTTGGCACATACATTTTTATGTAGGCTACCAGTGGATGCAAAAGTTGGCACATACATTTGTATGTAGGCTACCAGTGGATGCAACAGTTGGCACATACATTTTTATGTAGGCTACCAGTGGATGCAACAGTTGGCACATACATTTTTATGTAGGCTACTAGTGGATGCAACAGTTGGCACATACATTTTTATGTACGCTACCAGTGGATGCTACAGTTGGCACATACATTTGTATGTAGGCTACCAGTGGATGTAACAGTTGGCTCATACATTTTTATGTAGGCTACCAGTGGATGCAACAGTTGACACATACATTTTTATGTAGACTACCAGTGGATGCAACAGTTGGCACATACATTTGTATGTAGGCTACCAGTGGATGCAACAGTTGGCACATACATTTGTATGTAGGCTACCAGTGGATGCAACAGTTGGCACATACATTTTTATGTAGGCTACCAGTGGATGCAACAGTTGGCACATACATTTGTATGTAGGCTACCAGTGGATGCAACAGTTGGCACATACATTTGTATGTAGGCTACCAGTGGATGCAACAGTTGGCACATACATTTTTATGTAGGCTACCAGTGGATGCAACAGTTGGCACATACATTTGTATGTAGGCTACCAGTGGATGCAACAGTTGGCACATACATTTGTATGTAGGCTACCAATGGATGCAACAGTTGGCACATACATTTGTATGTAGGCTACCAGTGGATGCAACAGTTGGCACATACATTTGTATGTAGGCTACCAGTGGATGCAACAGTTGGCACATACATTTGTATGTAGGCTACCAGTGGATGCAACAGTTGGCACATACATTTTTATGTAAGCTATCAGTGGATGCAACAGTTGGCACATACATTTGTATGTAGGCTACCAGTGGATGGAACAGTTGGCACATACATTTGTATGTAGGCTACCAGTGGATGCAACAGTTGGCACATACATTTTATGTAGGCTACCAGTGGATGCAACAGTTGGCACATACATTTGTATGTCGGCTACCAGTAGATGCAACAGTTGGCACATACATTTGTATGTAGGCTACCAGTGGATGCAACAGTTGGCACATACATTTTTATGTAGGCTACCAGTGGATGGAACAGTTGGCACATACATTTGTATGTAGGCTACCAGTGGATGCAACAGTTGGCACATACATTTTTATGTAGGCTACCAGTGGATGCAACAGTTGGCACATACATTTTTATGTAGGCTACCAGTGGATGCAACAGTTGGCACATACATTTGTATGTAGGCTACCAGTGGATGCAACAGTTGGCACATACATTTGTATGTAGGCTACCAGTGGATGCAACAGTTGGCACATACATTTGTATGTAGACTACCAGTGGATGCAACAGTTGGCACATACATTTTTATGTAGGTTACCAGTGGATGCAACAGTTGGCACATACATTTGTATGTAGGCTACCAGTGGATGCAACAGTTGGCACATACATTTTTATGTAGGCTACCAGTGGATGCAACAGTTGGCACATACATTTTTATGTAGGCTACCAGTGGATGCAACAGTTGGCACATACATTTGTATGTAGGCTACCAGTGGATGCAACAGTTGGCACATACATTTTTATGTAGGCTACCAGTGGATGCAACAGTTGGCACATACATTTGTATGTAGGCTACCAGTGGATGCAACAGTTGGCACATACATTTGTATGTAGGCTACCAGTGGATGCAACAGTTGGCACATACATTTTTATGTAGGCTACCAGTGGATGCAACAGTTGGCACATACATTTGTATGTAGGCTACCAGTGGATGCAACAGTTTGCACATACATTTTTATGTAGGCTACCAGTGGATGCAACAGTTGGCACATACATTTTTATGTAGGCTACCAGTGGATGCAACAGTTGGCACATACATTTGTATGTAGGCTACCAGTGGATGCAACAGTTGGCACATACATTTTTTATGTAGGCTACCAGTGGATGCAACAGTTGGCACATACATTTTTATGTAGGCTACCAGTGGATGCAACAGTTGGCACATACATTTTTATGTAGGCTACCAGTGGATGCAACAGTTGGAACATACATTTGTATGTAGGCTACCAGTGGATGCAACAGTTGGCACATACATTTTTTATGTAGGCTACCAGTGGATGCAACAGTTGGCACATACATTTTTATGTAGGCTACCAGTGGATGCAACAGTTGGCACATACATTTTTATGTAGGCTACCAGTGGATGCAAAAGTTGGCACATACATTTGTATGTAGGCTACCAGTGGATGCAACAGTTGGCACATACATTTTTATGTAGGCTACCAGTGGATGCAACAGTTGGCACATACATTTTTATGTAGGCTACTAGTGGATGCAACAGTTGGCACATACATTTTTATGTACGCTACCAGTGGATGCTACAGTTGGCACATACATTTGTATGTAGGCTACCAGTGGATGTAACAGTTGGCTCATACATTTTTATGTAGGCTACCAGTGGATGCAACAGTTGACACATACATTTGTATGTAGGCTACCAGTGGATGCAACAGTTGGCACATACATTTTTATGTAG